ATACAATTCAGTATCCATTCACTTTTTATTGCTTTTGTTTCTTCATGTTTAGTTCTGAAATGTGAACTAATCACTCCTTAACTATCTTTCATAACAGTGTCAGAAAGAAATGCTTTATTAATCATATATTACTCTTTCATAGTGGGCAAAACAATCCCATAGCCAAATCCCATTCTCTATAACCTGGATATCTGAAGGGCCACTTGTCTCCAAGAATTTCTGCCCACCCAGTATGTTCCAGCAGAAGCATTAAATATTGTCATCTTGTGGGACCAAGGAAATGTGCTTCTCTATTGCAGCTCCCACTCTCTGGAACAGCATCCCCCAGAGATAAAAGTGGGGCTCGTTCCTAGAGTTCCAGAAAGCTTTGAAAACCTGGCTTTAGCCTCAAGCGTGCAGTTGGATGCTAGTTTTATCTACAATCCTTATTTTGTTTGTTGATTTTGTTATTTTAATCTGAGTTATCAGTCTGATTTAATGTTTTAACTGTTTTTATGTTTTTTGCTACTTTTGTATGCTACCCAGAGTCCATTGGAATTTGATGGCTAATGAATTGAATTAATTAAATAATAATACTAATAATACTAATACTAATAATAATGAAACATGTAACAGTGATACCCATGGTCATTGGGGCACTTGGTACCATGTCCAAGAATTTTATAAGATAGATCAATAAATTGCAGCTTCCTGCAATAACACCAGCAGAACTGCAAAAAACTATGTTACTTGGAACATCATACATCTTAAGAAGATACTTGGTTGATACCTAGGATGCTAACAGCAACCCGTATCAACCATTAGCACCAGTCAATGGTATTTGTGATGCATTTTTGAATGTTCAGTTCACTGAGTTTCATGTTTAATAAATAAAAGAGATAGTAGTAGTAGTAATAGTAGTAGTAGTAATAGTAGTAGTAGTAGTAGTAGTAGTAATAATAGAAGCAGAGCTTTCCTTCAAGTCAAATAAAAGAAAAGCTTATATCGGCTGATTACATAAAAGATAGCAAAGAACAAGCTCTGATGCAAGTTTAACTTGGAATTTATTGAATGTGCAGGAAACAAAACATGAATATAGAAATAATGTAATAAAAACAAGACCAGAATCCTGGCAGGAAAAAGCATTTTAGGGTCAATTTCTATTCAAGATCGAGGGGAAAGTAGATAAAGATAAAATCTGGCAATGGCTTACAACTGGAACATTACAGAAACTGAAAGCTTGATTTTGGCTCCTCAATAGCAAGCTATGCAATCTCAGGCAATCATGATCAAAATTCAAAAATTATCAAATGATTCCAGGCGCAATGTGTGCAAAAAGGCAGAGGAAACAGTAAATCTTACACTCAGCTTGTGCAAGAAGAGTCCACAAATTTACTATAAATAATGACATAACACAGTTGCCAAAATGATTCACTAGAACATCTGTAGGAATTAATATGTGCAGTAATGAAAAATACGTAGGAATATAGAGTTGAAAAATTAATAAAAAATGAGCAGGAATTCTGAATGCAAACTGATAGACCCTTGGCCCATAAAACACCAAATTTAACTGTGGTTGAAAAAAAGAAAGTATGAAAAATTGGTGTGGCAACACCTTGGGGTAGAAGAATAGAAGACAAAGAATTGGAAAAGATTCTTTCTCAAAACAAAGTATAAAGATCTAAAAATTAAAATTGAAAGTTGATGGCATTAACTGCCTAAGATGGCCACTATTATTGGTATGAGGTGCCAATAATAAAATCTTGCATGGCACTTAGAAAATACACACATTGACACATTGCCTTTGTCTTGCCACCCAAGAGTTAACCCTGTAGATTTTATCAATTCGACTTGCCACATCATCTGGACTTTTTTTGATTAGCCCTGCAATTGCTTCTGCACAAATATCCTTTAAGTTTTCCCAGTTATTTTCTTTTAGCCCTCTCAGTCTCAGGGCAAATTCCATAGATCTGTATTGTAACATTACCAGTTCATCATCCACCTTCTCTGTTTTAGTCATAATGTCTCCTACTTTGTTTTCCAGGTTCAGATTGGCTTCATTGATTTCTTCCACTCTCTCATCCACCTGAATAATAAACTTTGCCAATCCTGAGACTGCAAAAACAATATCATCTCTTATTTCATCATGCTTTACTTCAACAACTTCTTTAATTGACTTTATATCCTCCTCAAATTTCTTTAATTTCCCTTCCACAATTACAGCTATTCATAGCTGAAGCTTGATTATTCATGGCTTCTTTTATAAATTCTTTTGAGTTCATTAAAAGAAGCCTCCTGACTCTGTGAATCAGCCAGAAGTTGTGCTTTCTGTGTCACCAATGACACTACTGGAGAACCTCCTCCGCCTCTAGAAGCTCCTGGCTTAACTTGTTTAGAAGCCATCTTTTTTAAAAAATCTTTTTTCCCTTTCACAGCCACAAAGTCCCTTGAATAGTTTTCAAAAGCTTCTAATTTATAGTCTATAATTTATCAAGCAAAATAGTCTTTTCTCTACAAGCTCTCAATTCCCAGCAGCTTTAATCCACTCTCAAAGTGCAAAGTTTTCAATAAACACTTTCGCTTCTAACTTTCACTTTCACACCCATAACAAAGGCGCCATCTTCAGCCTCCAGCTCAAAAAGATTTGATTAGAAACAATGTAAATCCAGAGTTAAGCACTGTTACTTTTAAAGCTTGTTCTCCTGTTTCCACTCTGCCTGCGCTTGTATTCAATCAAACTCACTTTTGCTTGCAGGATTGGTTGCGGCGTCTGGCTCTGTTTAAAACAGAGTGGTCCCGGATCCGGAGCTTCTTAGTGGGCTGACTGAGGAGTTCTCACCCTCCAAGCCTCTGGAATTATTCCAGAGGGCTTTCGGGGAGCTCTACTTGCACCTACCGGCTCTCTTCTCCTTCTTTTCCCGATGGAGAAGTTTTTCAGCCGCCAGACAGCCGATTAGCACTGTCAAAGCGGCTTTTACGGAATTGCGGGGCTGGCGGTCCGAAGAGACTGTCCACGATGCCTGCGGTGCCAACCGGAAGTCTCACCCAGAGTTCTTATGTCTTTTTAAATACACGTTCTAATTAGCAGAATTGATTTTATTAATTTAGAATAGGGTTGCAATGCTGTTTCTACATTTATGTATTTTGATCCTGCATTTTCAGCATTTAAGTGTTAGTTTACAGTATTAGATTGTAAAGATTTCAAATTATCTTGTAACTGTGTTGCTTGTGTGTGATGGAGCATCCATAACTTCTGAAGGCAAGCTATTTCATTGGTTGATTGGTCTCACCCTTAGGAAATTTTTTCTTAGTCCTAGGTTGCTTCTCTCTTTGGTTAGTTTCCATCCATTGTTTCTTGTTATGACTTTTGGTGCTTTGGAAAATAGTTTGACCCCCTCATTTTTGTAGAAGCCCCTCAAATTTCCTAACAGAACAATTAATCAGTGGAACGACTTGTCTCCAGAAGTTGTAAATGCTCCAACACTGGAAGTTTTAAAGAAGAGGTTGGATAACCATTTGTCTGAAGTGATGTAGAGTTTCCTGCCTAAGCAGAGGGTTGAACTAGAAGACCTCCAAAGTCCCTTCCAACTCTGTTATTCTATTCTATTCTATTCTATTCTATTCTATTCTATTCTATTCTATTCTATTCTATTCTATTCTATTCTATTCTAAATACTGGAACAGTGCTATTTTATTGTGCTATTTTATTGTGAGTTGGACTAAGGAGAAATTTCCTAAGAGTGAGACCAATCAAGTTGGCCACGCCCACCCAGTCACATGACCATTGAGTCACGCCCATCCCAGCCAGTCATTAGGGCAGAGAACCAGTTGTTAAATTATTTGAATCCCACCACTGGACAGGAGAATAATTTCATACTTTTTTGGGGGGCAGTTCAAATAAATGTACATTTGTAAAAGAGTTGTCAGGTATGAAAGGTACTTTTTCAAGAGGCAACTGGACTTTCTGTTTTTTCTTTGAAGACGTTTCGCTTATCATCCAAGAAGCTTCTTCAGCCCTTTTCTTTTCAAAGAAAAAACAGAAAGTCCAGTTGCCTCTTGAAAAAGCACCTTTGGGACACTTATCATTTGGTATTTTGCCAGTCTGATGATATAAATCAGACTTCCACAGTACCAGATATTTGATGATAGATAGATAGATAGATAGATAGATAGATAGATAGATAGATAGATAGATAATGGATGGATGATATACACTCCACATACACACATCCAGATAGACACATAAACATACACGCATACTGAAAACTACAGTGACATACCCATCAGTCATCATGAGCAACGACTGGCTTGAAGTAGATCTTATTTTTTTACTGCATTTTTCTATAATAAAGGTAAAGGTAAAGGTTCCCCTGCACATGCATGCTGGTTGTATCTGGCCCTAGGGGCGGTGCTCATCTCCGTTTCCAAAATGAAGAGCCAGTGCTGTCTGAAGATGTCTCCATGGTCATGTGGCTGGCGTGACTAAACACTGAAGGCGCAGGGAGCACTGTTACCTTCCCACCAAAGTGGTCCCTATTTTTCTACTTGCATTTTTTTGAACTGCTAGGTTTTTTTGAACTGCTAGGTTGGCAGAAGCTGGGACAAGTAACGGGATCTCATTCCAGCAGCACTAGGGATTCGAACCGCTGAACTTCCAACCTTCTGATTGACAAGCTCAGCATCTTAGCCCTGAGCCACCATGTCCCTTTTTCTATAATAGCTCCAGTCAAACTGTGTTTCTCCAATTCTATTGAGATTAGGTTTCCCACAACTCGTAGGAAGCATAACCAATGGAAAACTCAAAATTCATGCTCTAGAAACACTGGAAACTGAAGTCTCAGCATCCATATAATACCAAGTTGAAGTATATTAACCTAGAGAATAATCACAGTATATGCTGCTGCAGACATAAGTGTGTTACATGCTTGAATTACAACTCCCTGAAGTGTGGTCCTAACCAAGATTATGAAAGGAAAGTATCTTTTTAGCAGATTTTACATAATAAACCTTAATAAACTTACCAAATTCCAGCCTGGATAGAGATAGTCAGTTCCAACAAATTCAAAATAGTGAGCAAAGCCTTCTTTTAGCCATACATCTTCCCACCATATAGGAGTTACAAGATCACCAAACCACTGAAAAATAAATCCAGCTTGATTAAAGTATTGTTTTTGTTTATAGTTTTCATTTCTGTACATTCTATTTCTATAACCAAGTGGAATGAATTCCTTGCAATAGCACTGAACAGTGATTATACAAATTGCGAATGCTTAATTTTTTCTTATCTTGATTTACCTCATAAATGTTAATAAAGGGTTCAACACAAGCTGTCCCCATGAAAGGTTACCAGGATAACTGCATCCTATACAACTTTTAATTTATTTCCTTTACAAAAGAGATAGGCATTTATGAGGGATTGGAATCATATCTGAACTTTATGAAGAATCATAGGAGGCCATCTGGTAATACAGCGATGATAAACAGAATGGTGTATACCTGAAATTTTCTGATTCATTTTTGGGCAGGTTTGGAGGACAGCTAAGAATAAGAATGGGAGCAGAGGCCTCTGTGAGGCAAATAGGAAACATAAGCAGGCCACAGGTTTCCCTCTCTTCCTTTATAATATCACTAAATACTAAACCACAGTTTCTGAAATAACAGACTACATACTTCCTAAATAAAAGAATGGAATGAAATGATCGTTCAACCAAAACATGTTCTTTAAATATTTAAATCATTGGAAAGAAAGGATCATGATCGTGTTTCATAAGGATATTTTTGGCCTCAACAGCAAGACACTTAAATACTGCTTCTTTCTAATTCCAGAACAATTTACCGCATAAGTCAAAGCACAGAATATCAAAAGAAAATGAGTATCACATTAGAAACTTACCTGATGTACCGGCATCTGACATGCATGCTTACAGCCATTGATTAATCATGACTAATTTGTTCACTGATATCTTGGGATCTACTTCATCTGAGACAGGATTCAATTTATTATCAAATAATTATTCAAATATAAGTTTCATTATGATTACAATAAAATTCATGCCTTTCTAAATATCTATGAATTTGATGACTTTGGGGCTTGACAGAGCTCTTTTGTGCCATTTAAATAATCTAGGGACATTTTCTGTAATCCTAAAACAGCTTCACTCTGTAGAGAATCCTCCTTCTGGAGATCGGGATGCCCCTGATCGTTAGCCTTTCAATGAAGATCTATCTGTTGAGCCAGGCACTTGGGTCAGGAGATTAGGCAAGCTCTGCTGCTGATGTGATCTTTATGATTGTGATACGTTGCTTACCTCAAGCATCATGAATTATTGGCTGTGGTTGTTGCTTTTTTTTTAAATCCTTGTACACAGCCAAAGTCACTGCTGTGATATCAGCAGCCATACACAGTAAAGCATTTAAATCCGTAAAATAACTTTGAGTAGTCATACAGGTTTGATCATTGTGAACTGTTTCCCAGTTCTCTGCAGGATAATCTGAAGACTCATGAGGACTGTAAAAGGAAAGCAACTGATCTTTCAGTAGGGGAGGGCTAAGCAATTTCATTCTATTCCAGTGAATACTTTGAACAAAAGCAGTGGTGCGCTCATTCTGAAGGGCAAATATCTTTATGGTAGATGTGCAAGTAATGGTGTTTTCTTTAGAAAAACAATTTAACTCATATGTATATATGCCCAAGCAATGAATAAATTAAACATGATTAATAAAACTGGCTTTCAGCCTATTTTGCAATTGAACCAAAGAAACTATTGATGCTTCATTTAAATATACTGGTACATGTGAATTAAATGTACAGTTAATGTAAAAACAAATTAGAACACTAGAGGAAAGTAACAGTTTGAGAGATTGTCTTATGTTTTCCTATATACCACTCCTATAAAGACTTAAATACATTTTGAATTATTTAAATACATTTGCTTAGTAATATATTTGCAACTTTTATTATATTAAGATATATTTAGTAGATATTTATTTTAGAAATGTTTTTAGTGTAAAAAAACCTCATTTATATATGTAATTATAAATGTTTGATAAAAAGTCTATTTCTGATGAACAAATCACTGGATAAGATTTTCTGCATTAGAGTATCAGAAATTAGATTAAGATATCCTTGTTGCTATTGGCCTACAACAATGATTATTAAGCAGAAAGTTAAACTATATAAAAAATTATAACTTTTTATTTTTTGAAAATGACAGCTGCAAAATAATAAAGAAGTAGTTTTACTGAGTTATATTTAAATGTATTGAGTGGGAACATATATGGTATCAAATTGCAAAGAATCCTTAATCAGACAAATCAGTGAACTTCTATGGCTAATGAAAAGCTCTAGTTATTACCCAATAAATTAAAGAATAACTTTAAAATGAAACTCTCTATGGACTTGCATGAGTGTGACCCTTAGCAATGGAGTGAGGTGTTCTATATCTTTTCAAAAATCCAGGTAAAATAATTTGTTACTAATCAGGGAAGAAGATTTAATAATTGATACTGAAATAATGGAAATATTGAAATGAAGAGACTATGTGATGTGATAATGTTTGGTTTTAAGGATAATACAGTCAAAGTCAGTCAAAACATCAAATTTAAGAAAATGGATTTTTAATACTCTAATAGCTCTACTGAATAGAATTCTCTGGCCTTATAACTAATGGCTACATATACTCCCTCATAAAAAAAAAAAACCACCCCATAAACATAACCAATAGAAATCCCAAAGAAGGAAAAAAATAAACAGATACTAAATGTTCCTGGTGAAAAGGTTTAGTGATATGAAAAATAAAGGTCATATATGAGAAACTGAAAGAACTAGCTGGCTGGAGAGAAAGATGGAGGGAGGGGGAGATGGGGAGAGAGAAAGAGAAGGAGAGAGAGAGAGAGAGAGAGAGAGAGGGAGGGAGGGGAGGGAGGGAGGGAGGGAAAGAAAGAAAGAAAGAAAGAAAGAAAGAAAGAAAGAAAGAAAGAAAGAAAGATGGTGAAAGACACTAAAAAGAAAGGTGGTTTCTTCAGCTATGTTCAGGGGAAAAAAAGAAAAAATAATATAACAGCTATTCAGCAAAGGTGACAAAAGCTAATGGGTAATAAAAGAAAGGTGAATTACTCAACTACGCTGGTGTTATCCAATGAGATGTTATTTGTTTCATCGTATAATTGTAAAGGGCAACCTGAAGGGGAAGTCTGATATTGATAGAGATAAATTCAGATGGATTTTAAAGAACAATTCTTATCAGGCTATCCATATCTTATTTTTTTTGATAATAATATTATAGAAGATTCCTAATACAGTTCTTTAGAAAGACAAAAAAAAAATTCACAGATTTAAAATGGAAAATCGTCTCTTGCCAATAATATTTCTGAAGAATCTTGAAACTAGTTAAATACCAGCTAAATATGGGTCAGCAGTGCAAGACAGTTACTAGAAAAGATAATCATATGTTTAGATTATAACATATATACATATGTAGCAACAGCAATAGTATTTAGACTATACCGCTTCACAGTGCTTTACTCTCTAAGCGGTTTACAGAGTCAACATATTTCCCCCAACAATCTGGGTCTTCATTTTACCGACCTCGGAAGCATGAAAGGCTGGGTCAACCTTGAGCCGATGAGAATCGAACCGCCAACTGCAGTACTGCATTCTAATCACTGTGCCACCACGGGTCATATATACTTTCTAAATAGCAATAAGTAATCCTTCTACTCTAGATGTGAAAAGTAAGCTGAAAGCCAATAATTCATAGGCCAGATTTTATAGTTTAACTACCTCTCAAATTCAAAAAGGATATAAATCCTTCCATTCCCCATCATCCAGTCAGAGCTAAAGAAGCTTCTTGGATAAGAAGTGAAACGTCTTCAAAGAAAAACAAGAAAGTCCAGTTGCCTCTTGAAAAAGCACCTTTGGGACACAATTTCAAGATTACTTTTTAATTCATTGGAACAATGGGAAGAAAAAGCTAGAGTTTGAACCAGTGGTGAAATCTAAAATTTGTTACTATCGGTTCTATGGGCGTGGCTTGGGGGGGTAATGTGACTGGGTGGGCGTCGCCATTTTTTTTTTACTTTTAAAACCATTTTTTCTACAAGAGGTTGTAAAAAAATGCTTTTAAAAGGCTCTGACATCCCAGCTGAGTTGCCTGATCGGCAGACACTTTTTTTCTTTTAAATGCCTCTGATGATCAGGCAACTCAGCTTGGATCATCAGAGGCATTTAAAAGAAAAAAAGGCTTTTTTTCTTTTAAATGCCTCTAACGATCCAAGCTGAGTTGCCTGATCAGCAGAGGCATTTTTTCTTTTAAAAGCCTCTGACGATCCAAGCTGAGTTACCTGATCATCAGAGGTATTTAAAAGAAAAAAAGCCTCTGCTGATCAGGCAACTCAGCTGGGATTGTCAGAGCCTTTTGAAAGCATTTTTTCTACAACCTCTACAATTCTTTTAAAAGCATTTGACAATCCCAACTGAGCTGCATGATCATCAGAATCTTTTTTTTTACTTTTAAAAGCATTTTTTCAGCCAAAGAGGTTGTAGAAAAAATGCTTTTAAAAGTAAAAAAAAAAAAGCCTCTGATGATTGTGCGGCTCAGGGAGGGGCAGGGATTTTTGCTACCGGTTCTCCGAACCACCCGCCTCCATCGCTACCGGAGCAGGCAATCTGGTCCGAACCAGGAGCATTTCACCCCTGGTTTGAACCATTTGAATATATGGGAGTTTCACTTTTACACTGGCAGTGGGCAATCAACTTTTTGTTTTTTATTCATTCATTCATTCATTCATTCATTCATTCATTCATTCAACTTGTATGCCGCCTTTCTCCGAAGACTCAAGGCGGCTTACAATGCATTTATTCTTGTTTATTCTTGTTTGTAATGAACATTTTTAAACTAGTCAAGTCCTAAATTAAGAAACAAGTTTACTAATGTAAACTCCAGACCTCTGTGAAATATGCTTGAATTCTGGTCAGAGAGATGGATACTGTTTTCAGATCTCACCTAAAGCATTTGTGTCCAGTTGTGGACCACCATATCAGGATTCAGATGAATTAGAATAGGCTTAAGAAGTACAATGATAATGAACATGTGGCTGGACTTTTACATTCCAGCAAAAAGGAACTATGGATCTATACTGTATTCTTGAAAAGGGAAGAGTATGAGGGATATAATAGCATTCTTAAAATATCTGAGGGGAGGTCACAAAAGAGCAGATATTGTTTGTCCTTTATTATTCCAAACTGCAAGATAAGGAATAACATTGTAATCTTACTGTACAGTATGAAGACATATTTCAGATGAATGTTAAGGAAAAATTTCCTAATAGCAACAGTAATTTGATGATTTCTCCTTCACTGGATGTATGCAAGCTGAGGATGACAATTACCTACAGGGATACTTTAATTGAGACACAACATGAAATGCTGTTCTCAGTTACCTAGACTCCATCAGCCCTGATATTTTTATATGCATTTGGACTTAACATAATTGAAAGCATGACAGGCTACTAAAACTATTTTATTACACACACACACACACACACAAACAAATGAAAGTAACTTTGTGCAATAATTGAAGAGCCCTATAATCCTTTCTAAGTATGGTATGGTCCATATCTGCAGAAAACATTTGATGTGTGTCTATGAAATTAAACTATTTAACTGTAAAGTGTAAAATTAAAGACAAATCATTATTCATAAATTGCTAGTAATCTTTGGAAAAATTAGTTATACATAATATATACAGTTAACCAGAGGTGAGAAATATTTTATTATTAAAACTATTTAAGGATTTTATTTATTTTTTTGGTTGTCTTACAACTCTGAAAATACGCACTACTTCTTATTATTTGTAATAGTTAAAACAAAGCCAATTAGTGTACCTGGTAACTAAACATGAGCAATATCTCAGGCATAATTCATAGTAACAATATAGGGTATTGATCACTAACCATCACAAAGCACTAGATTTCAGGAAGCTGTTCTCTAAATTTCCAATTACAATAGGAATTTCAACACTTTGCAAGAGGATACTAGTAAGACAATCGATCAGTAACCATTGTTCCGCATTTTCTATAACCTAAATATGCTTCAATATTATGATCAATGCTATGATCAGTTTTATCATATGCCTGATGCAAATATGAGAAATTGGTAGGTTATCTTGAGAGGCAAAGGCGAACTCCAGTATCTGAGATCAATGTTAGGAATTTCAGGTTTATGCAAGCTCTCTGCAGAGTTATTTAGAAGAGAACTGGCAATAACTAATCAGAGATATTAGAATATCATTTTGTATCTCTATAGCAATACAAATACTTTAAAATATGATGCTATTAACTCTATTTAAAGGGGAAAATACTGTTATTTTGTGTATCTGATTTAAAGAATTTGTATGAAACAAAGTGTTTATGTGTGAGCTTATTTATGAGTTCTCATTCAATTGAAGATAGGTTAAGATTTATTTCCAACTGATTTCTATAAGAGTTAAATAAACCTTAAATTTATATGAAGAAATAAACAAGATCTAAAAGTGCTCAGCTTAAGTTCAACACTATATGTTCACATTAGAAAATATTGAGAAATAGTTAAAATGTATTTCATTTATAAGATAATCAAGATATTGTTCATCTCCTACCTGATGGCATAGCTCATGCACAATAACCATGGTGACATCCAGTAAATATGATATGGAAGAAATGCTTGAATCCAAGAGTATCCTTTGCTCCACGAAAACATTTAATCCCCAGTTCTCCATTGCAGCATAAGGATGCTTAGGCACAGCTAACAGATCTAGAAACAGAATGAAATGTCCTTTAGCAAGCTTGTGGGTTTTAAAACTCCCATTAATTAAAAATGATGGGACATGAAAACAATTCTGAAATGCAAGAATCAAAACATTAACATTCCTGAGAAATAACGCAATTTTGTTGGATTAATTGTTTAGCATATATCATATCCTAAGAATCAAAATATATTATACTCATTTAAAATTCACTGGTGTTACCTGTCATTGGAACAGATCAGAATCTCTTACTTCAGCAATAGTATCTATATTAAAAGACAATTTTATAGTACTTAAAATTTGGCATCTGAATACCAAGAAGCAACTCTTCATATTTGACTATATCAGGGGTGTCAAACTCAAGGCCCATGGGGCGTATGCAGCCCCTCGGGTGCTTAGATCTGGCCCGCAGGGCTGCCCTGGAAACAGCAAAGGACCTGCCTGTAGTGGCTCTGCCAGCAAAAACAGAGCTTGGGAACAGTGTGGCTGTCCCAGGCTTTGTTTTCATTGGCAGAGGGCTGCAGGAGGCCGTCGTGGCCAAAAACAGGGCCCAGGAGCCTCTTTTCATGGCAGAGCACTCGGGCCACCACAGACACCCCTGACATAAAACAGGTGTCATGCTAGCCATACCCATCCAGGCCCTGCCCCCCCCCCATGGTCAAACACAACCCTGATGTGGCCCTCAATGATACCCCTGGTCTATATTCAGTTTTATTACAATAAAGTTTGCTAATTAGTACTGTCCAGACCATTTAGTTGTTCCAAATCCACATGAGACTAAACACTGAAAATCTTGAACTCAAAGCTAGTGTGGTAGTTTAAAGATTTAACCAATGAGATTATTAAACTGCATTATTTTTCTTATATATATTTCTACAATTTGTAATCTTTTGCACATGTGTTATATTCTATTTCCATAGCTTTCCATTTGTTCATGAGAATCATGTCTAAAATATAGATAACGTGTTTGGCAGGCTTTATACTTAAAACATCTGGATAGTTGTTTTATTTTGCTTGCATTACATATAATACACAAGTGCATTAACATTATTCACTAACGGAAATACCCTGATGCTAGTTGCATGTTTGTATGAATCATGGAGTGCATTTAATCGTTACTGGGAATTCAGATTTATTAGTACATAAGTAAGAGCAACATAATGTATAAAATGCACACTATATGGTTTTGTGCATATATATATATGTATTATATATATTTTGCATAAAAATCTATAACGGGAAAATAATTTTCTGTCAACAAGCAATGGGAAAGCATATTAAATTCCCCAGCATATTTTTGAATATGCTGGCTGTTTACTCAATGCATTTACTGGGCTGCCAGTGTCACTGCATTCCTTTTAATATGAGTTTAACTCATTGTGTGTTTGCTTACTCTCTTGTACTCCCTTCCTCGCCAGTGAATGCAAATGCTAACATTAACACCTTTCTTGCTAATTATTCCAGCACCAGGCTAAGCATTCAAAAGGCTGGGAGAGTGGTTGGGAGACAAAGAAAAGCCAGCCGAAGATGTGAAATTGATTACTCTTATTAATTATAGACAGCAGCTGTGAGCCAACTATTCCAGTAAAGGAGTGAGCATTCTAAAGGGCAGGAGAGTTGGGAAAAGGAAAATATAGTCAGTGTGATGTGATTTCCCACTTAGCAACTGCTTTGCCAGTCTCAAATGTAATCACCAAACAAATACTATTTGAATATACTAGATTTATCTAACAAAATCCTTAACTGCATGTATGTTCCAACCCCTTTTTTCTAAACAATTGAAACACTATAGTTACTTGACATATGTAACGATGTCCTTGGTTTTTTTTTATCAGTATAATTAAAGATGGAGGACAAACAACTAAAATATTGTAAATAATAACCATTTTAATGTGAAAGAGCATAATAATCCTTTAAATCTTCTATTCACTTATGAATTCCACTTGATTTTCAAATAATTTTTAAAACGATAGTCTGTTTTACTGATTCAATTATATGGAGCCCTGAAGCACCCCTAACTTGAAATGCATAATTAAAAATCTTGTAAGACATCCATCTGCAGTAGGTATGCCCTAGATTCGAGACTTTTCTGCACATGACTATTGTTTGAGAAGCTGCTGTCAGAAATCACCTTATTTCTTAGCAGAAAATGCATTTATTGTTTGACTTAGCAAATAAATTTCCAACAAATGTATTGCTGGACTAGCTTCTTTATACTCTTCAATTCCTGGTCAAAACTGAATATTTCATGGATTATTTTTCTGTAATCCACTAAATTGTATCCTTTTTTTTTTCACCTGCTCAGAAAAATCCTTTCTTTAAAAAACTATGTTAAAGTACAAGTTTTACATCCCTTACAGAGTTTTAGTCATTAGCTTCTGTGCAAGTAAACAGAACTAATTGATCTATACAAAATAGCCATATGCAGTCCTATTTTGCTAAGTAAACCAAAGGAATTCATGCTGTTCCATATATTTTATTGTGTGAAAAAATGCATCAGTCCATTTCCTCAGGCCAGGCTGAGGAATATAACTCATTTCATAATGAGTTTTTCTTCCTCTAGATATTAGCATGTTCTTAGACCCTCAAATCATTTGGTACAGAAATAATTTCTGTGAACATTGGTGCATTTGCTTAGTTCCATTTTAGGAGGCTGACTAGGAATCTATAAAATATGCTTCATATGTCACACTAGCTAAATAGATAGCCTTCACCTGCTATATTGTAATCTAGGCCTGGTTGTGTGCACTGGCTTCATAATGTGAAAGATGAAGAAAATTCTCAACTTCTGTTGCCTAATTTCCTTTTCTCAGAAGAGAAAGAGAAAGTTTGGTATGGTGATTAAGGCACTAGCCTAGTAACAAGGCAACTGTGAGTTCTAGTCCCACCTTAGGCTGAAAGCTGGCTGGGTGGCTTTGGGGCAGTCATTCTCTCTCAGTCCAACTCAAAAAGTAAAATGGATAAAAATGAGTATGTTAACATTCTAAGTGGTAAAATGTATTCATGTCCACTTTGAACATATTTAGAAGAAAGAGGCTGGAGATTTTTAGTCTTGCTAACCAATCATGTTACTGAGTATCCTTACCTCTATTGCCCTTCCAAAAGTAATATATAAAATGAATAAATGTGACCAGCACCAGCATAAAATAAACAAAGGGGAGAAAGTGGCATGCATAAATGATTGTTTAATAAGAAACCTAGAGTGTTTCAGACTAAATCTTCTTCACAGGCTCTTATTTCCTCAAATACTATACTATGTGAGGAAAAAATCTTTATACCAATTCCAATGAAACTTGTTTGGCTTTATATTAAAACATTTTTCTTCCTCTACTAAATGAGACACAGTGAGCCCAGCAAATATAGATTTGTGACCATAGCTTAGTGAACGGAGAAAATGAGAAGGATCTGCTTAAACTAAAATAAAATGTCCATGAGAAGAAAGATATTTTATGAGTTGATATAGAGAAAAGAATAAAAATATTCAAAGTTCAATAAACTAGGCAATGTTAAAAGGAACAGTCATTTTCACAAAATTACATAGATAGCAATTTAGTTTAAGGAATATCTTAACCTCTGCTCCAAGGAAAAGCTTAACACAGGGAAAAAATGGAATATATATTAAAACAAACATAATTAATATTCAAGGCCTCCATTTAAAAAAAAGAATACAAAGAGATCCAAACAAATATAGACATCTTTTCTATGTAAAGCTTGGGGAAACAGTTGCCTTATAGGGGAGATAGACAGCATAAATTTAAGGGTCTTGGTAGTACAGTGGTCTAAAGCACCCTGTTATTAACACAGCTGCCTGCAATTACTGCAGGTTCGAATCTTACCAGGCTCAAGGTTGACTCAGCCTTCCATCCTTTCTAAGGTAGGTTAAATGAGGACCCAGTTTGTGGGGGCAATAAGCTGACTTTGTATAAATATACAAAAGTATGAAGGCTATTGCTTAACGCATTGTAAGCCGCCCTGAGTCTCTGGAGAAGGGCAGCATATAAATCAAATTTAAAAAAAATAAAAAATAAATAAATGTTAATTTAATCTAAAGCATAAAAATAAAATAATATATTAAAAAGAAGAGCAAATCTTAATGCAGAAGAATAAGACTATATTCTGAAAAGTTAAGTCCTGCATTATCCTTCTGATGCAAAAAGAGGTTTCAGAAAAGAGCAGAGCTACTGCCATCAGCATTGGGAAAGAGACTGCCTCATCTGACCTTGATGAGGAATACTTGCAACTTGTTTCAAACATTTAGTACAATGATTGCGGACAATCTATTATCTTCTGTAGCATCTATAGTGTAGCTGCTGCACTAAATACCAGTTACCTAATCACAACCACTTATTAACTACCTTTAACTACTGTAGTTGAATGAATGCAGAAGGATTCACCAAATGTTAATGGAAATTCTCAGTCATCCAGATCAAACTTTGGGATTCACCAAATGTTAACACCTAGGTTTCTGGTGTAGCTCAAAGCTCTATGGAGGAGTGGGACAATAATGGTCTTAATCTAGGTTGGATTCCAACTACCTGACTAAAGAACTAGTCCAGAACTCCACAGGCTTTTGATGACCTGGCACTAGGTTCTTAAGGGAAAATTGAAATTCTGTTGATACCCACATTTTCCTACTGCTTAACCAAAGGAAGCCCTCTGAATTTTTTGAGACCTCTTTGTTCAAAAAGATTTGGGATTCATGGTCCTTAGAAGTGGACCTGTCTCAATTAACATATGGCACAACAGGTACTTTGGATTGTATTCCGAACAAGATTAAAGGATACTATGAAAATACTCCATTTGCACTACTGAATATATTAGTTTTGACTGACTCTCAGGTAGAATAGCTAATGAATCCAGATGGTTTCATTAAAACAAATTCTGCTAGTTTAGTTGAAAGCTCTGTTGAAGCTCTGACCTCTGCCTACAACATCAAGAATGACTTAAGCCATCACTAAAATCACTCCCGGCAACCTTACCCCATCTCAGAGCATCCTGTCATCTTTTT